TTTCCAGTCAGGACAGAAACAGCCTTTGTTGTTAAATTAACCGACACCGCTCGGTTCGACGTGACGGGTCAAGAGACCGGTCGTATACGAACCTTTTCAGGTCCAGAACTGCTTTAAAATCTAAAACTCTGATCAAGTTCTCCTGAGGAGGAACCCAAAACTCCTCGGCCAATTTAAGAATCCTAATCCGGATTAACGGTCCCACATTCTACTCAGGCTTTAGAGCGCGGTGGGTTTCTTTTGGGCAACATGAGCGCTGCATACGGTACATTATACGCTCGTCAACAAACTATTAAACACCAATCTGCGGCAACGGGCGAGATAAGCAAAGACCTTTAAACTTTGACCTTGATTATTGACCTTGAAGTTGGGGGTGACATCATCTGGTGATGTTGAACGCTTTTTGAAGTTTTGTTTTATTTCTTCTTTCTGCCAGTCCGGTGTTTTTGGCACCGGTAGAAGCTCTACTGCTACAGTGACATAATAAAAGTGAAGCCCCGCCCCCCCTCGTTGCATCTTTAACATTAAAAAGCTCACACTACCCCAGGAAAATAGAAATTATTTATTTTTCACTCACACCAATGACATTCAACATTCAAGTGCCAGTGTTTTTGTTTTACTGTCTTTTGGTCAAGTCACTTTGTAAAATATCAACTTTTTGAATTAGGCTTATAAAAATAAATATTTCCCCAAAAATGCTCGATAAAAATCACACAAACTAGCAGCGAAAATAGACTCGGGAACTCCCGAGCGCAAACAGCTAAACCCTACAGTTGCTGGTAACGAGAACTCCACCTGGTCCCAAAAATCAAAATAATTAAAATAAAAACGATAATTTTGTACCTAGAACCGTTTCCGAACGCACAACCACAGTACGCTGTAACGTCTTTCGGACCCGCGGCTGACCTCCAGTCAGCAGAACCTCTCGGCGGCGTGAAGGACGTGTGCTACATAACGAATGTTCATCTACTTTACGTTTAAACTTTGTTGGGATTTAAAGTCTTAAAACAGAGAGGCCCGCGGGCCGCAGCAATGGGAGCGTAGCACCGTGAACGGTTCTCCACGTAGAGAACAGTTCTTTCGACGTCTTTCAGAATCGGCAACAAACGTAGCTATCCGTTCCACCTGGGCTGGGCATCGCCGCTAAATGTAAGGCATCGACAGGTTTAAAAAAACAACAATCAAAATTAAAGTGCTGGGTCGGGGGAAAACGAGGGCTGAGTTTTCGTCAGAGGAACGAACCGAGCTAGATTTATATTACAGACACTCTCAGAGTGGAAATACAACAGATCTAAGGATTCTGCATAGGTAAACGCCAACAAGGGTCCCAACGAAAAGCGCTGGTAACGACGTTAGCTGTTAGCATTTCTAAACGAGCAGGCGAAGGCAACGGCTTGGATCAACTTTTCCAAGTAACGGTGGTCACGTTTATCATTTTATAAAGATGGCCCTGGCACATCGAGTCACCACCCGCAGGACAAAGAGACTAATGTGGAAAAACAATTAAAAATGGCACAAAATAAAAATAAATTAAAACACGAGGAGCACCGGGAACTTCTGTTGAGCAGTTAAAACCGTGCCGCAGATCTGTAGACCGAACGTTTTAAACATTTATTTTTCTGTGATCCTTCCTGCTTGCTTGACGCTTCGAAGTGCGAGGAGACGCTGGACGCGGTACAGGAACCCTAGAGTCGAGGCCGGAGAGAGTACTGGGAACAGAACCGTGGGAGTAGGCGGGGCTTAAAGCCCACAACACCAGCGAGCAGACTCTGGTTACAAAAGTGCAACAAGGCAGCTCCTGGAAACCGGGTCCCAACACTGAGACGGCGGCGGGGGGACATTGATCTAGTGCTTCCAGACATTTTGACGGCTCGACAAAAAACTACAACCAATACATTTTATAAACAAGGTATAAAAAAAAAAAAAATTTTTACATTTTAACTTTCTTTAAACATAAACTTTGGGCAATAATGTTTGCAGAGGTTGACCTTTCTATACTTTTACGATCTTACAGTGAGGTAGTCACATCTGTCATATTCACATTAGAGGTTCAAACCTACGTCCACGCGATCCGTCGGCTTTTCAACGCTTCGTCACTAAAAGTTTGGATTTTCCACCTCTCCGACCAACGGACGCGTCGATCTTTGAAGAATTAGCAGTTCTGTCATCACAAGGCACTATTTTTTTTTAAACTAAACGGCTTCAGACCCATCCGTTAGTTAACTTATTAGCACGCTGATACGTAGCATGCTAGCATGCTAACAAACGGACCGTGCTAACAAATATCTGCTTTGCTAAAACGAATGCATCGTGAGCACAAAGCCAAATAAAGTCACAACTAAACTTTATTTCACTTTTGGTAGAAATTTGATGCTTAATAAAGTTTTTTTTTTTTATTTAAAGGAGAGGGAAGTGATTCGAGTTTCACTTGCGTTCTGTTCTAACTTGGGATAATTGTTAATTACATTTAAAAAAATTAAAAATGCCAAACTAGTTTGCATATTTGACTTCTGTTTGAAAGTAGTGACCTACAAACGTAAAACCTTTGAATTTGAAACTTATAAACACAAACGGACAACGGTGCGCTCGTTCCTTCACTGCCCCCTAGTGGTTATGTGAAGGCACGGCAACGCCTTCGACTTTCATCAGATTTACAAATAAATGTACTTTAAAGAGTATTTTCGCAAGCTAACTATTCTAAAACACAAACTGGCTCGAGCAGCGGCTGTCGATTCAAGTAACGAACGCTAACGATGCGGGCGGAGGCGCACCGACAAGTAGACGTGACTTCTAACAAACGACGGCGCGCAGCTCCGAGGACCGTTTCAGCGCGTCGTCGGTCAAATTCTCAGATCTGGAAGACGCAGGTTTGATAGCCGTTCCTACACGATTTTAAAACAGCGTTTCGCCTCACTGTTAATTAAACTTTAAACTAAGCGCTATCCTTCATAACTGATTGTCATTTGCAACTTCGTCCTTTTACCGTTTTTATCTTCCTGCTGGTTAACTGTTCTTTAAGGAAATCCAAGATGGAGGCTCTCCACCATTGCCGCAGGAAATGAAACGACAGTCCCACCGCCCTCGGGTCATTTGAGGCTGATCATCTACGTTACGAAACCCATTTCTCCGACCGCTGAAGCTTGTATTTGTGGAAAAACTCGTTTTCTGTAATCGGTTTATAAACGTGTACGAAGCAACGACTGAGACAGGGTGGAGCGCGACGTTTGATCCTGTAACCGCCGTTAGCCTAGCCTCGTAGCTTAAAAAAACCCGTGAATTCTCAATAGATCTGTTCATGTGCTTCTACAATTAAAAAATAAAAAAAACTGCCGAAACGCAACGTTCCTTAACCTCCTCGCAGAACGCACTCGAGGGAACGGGATCCAACAGAAAAGACGACTCGAGAAAAGAAAACGGTTAGTGCTAAAGCCCGTTGTGTCAATCAGCTTTTTGCGATTTTACCTACTTGACCAAAAAACATCAACACTTTGCATGTTTTATTGTCATCCGTCGGACTCAGTGGGACATTTGAGACGTTTCTACTCCTTTAAATTAAACTCAAACTCCCCGCTGAACAAAGCTAACCGGACGCCGCCTGGTCCGTGCCGAGCGATCAAACTTTACTCTTTTAACAGAACGGCTTTTTTCTTTGAAGAGATTTGAATATTTACATTAAATCTGATAAAAGAGCCATTTTCTCCTCTGGCCAACGACAGAGCCTTTTTGTTTTTAGCTCTGCTGCTCGGTGGCGCAGCGGGGGAATCGTACTGATCCTGATAAAGAGCACAAGTTCAATCAGGGGTGAGACCCTGGCACAGATCTGAGCCGAACTGGACCAACCGGGGCCTGTTGCTGCCACCGGCTCCGTTATGCCACTTTTCCACCAGCACAGTTTAGCAGCTCCTTTTTCATTCGACGATGAAAATTATCGTTTATTAATCCCAACGACGCTTGATCCACCTGGATGAGGCTGAGGAGAAGTAGCTGCTTCCCTGTTAACGTGCAAATTAGAGCGTGCGTGTTTTTAATCGCCTCACCGCGTGGCTTCGTTACAAGTCAGGGTGTCGTCTGCAAACAGAAAAACGAAGAACCACATTAACGGGGCGGCCGTGGTGCAGTGGTAGTGGCAGCCGACCTCTGATCGGAAGGTTGGAGGTTCGAATCCCGACTTCCCACACCATGTGCCGTTGTGTCCCTGGGCAAGACACTTAACCCCGAGTTGCTCCCGGTGGGACTGGATGGCGCCTTGCATGGCAGCCTACCGCCACCGGTGTATGAATGTGCGTGTGAATGGGTGGATGGCTGGTACTGTAAAGCGCCTTGGGGCCCCTCATAGGGGGCTGGAAGGCGCTATAGAAGTAAGCTCCATTTACCATTTAACGTTTTCGCGTCTTGTTTGTGAAAAATCCGGCGCCACTGAACCAACAGTTTGTGCTTGAACGCCACAGCGCGTAGCTAAAATGTGCTCTGAACACGTGGCATCGCGTCCGTGGCGAGCCCGGCTCGTTGTTCACCTTTTTCACGCAGACCTCAACAGGAACCAGTGATTATTCTAGAAAAGGCTCTTTGTCCAACTCTCCAGGATAGAGTGAGCATAAAACACTTTTTTTTTTAAGTCTCCTTAAAATGTTTTGACGAACACGTTTCGACAACGCTCGAGGTGGAAGCAAGTCGGGTTTCCAGTGAGCAATGTGGCACTAAGACTTCTACAGCAGCAGACGCGTCGCGTTTAAAACCTGTACATTAAAAATACACTTTAATATTTGGCTTAAAGAAACTAAGAATCAAAAGGGAGAAATGTAACGTAAAAAAAGCTGAAACGAAGGAACACGGTCGCTGCTACACCGGTTTTCTTTTGTCACTTAGAGCAACAGAGCTTCGAGAAACCGAACCGCGAGCTCAGAAACGGAGCTGTAGGTCAGACGAGCTGAACCGTTTCCCCAAAGCACAAAACAACATTTCCAAAAGATTTCCCACGGTTTAACCGTTAATCGTTGCCCATGTGCGTTTGCAGTGGTTTCATGCTTCAAGGAACTCGCTCATCTAGTCTGATGAATTTTAACTCGTAGGAATGAGGAGTCGCTTAGTTTCCTCATCAGTATTTTTTTTTTAAGTTTTTGATTTTGCCAAGGTTTGATTTAGCTCAATCCTAGTTTGTTTCCTTCAAAATGGGATCAAAGAAAAACAAGTTCAAAACCCACAAATGACTTCAAATATACATCGTTTGGTACCCCATGGCCTGTACTTGTAGCCAGCTATGCATTATAGTGATATAAAAAAAAAACAAGTGACAAAGTTCAGATTCTTAAAGGCACAGTACAGAAACGACTTCGTAATGAAAGGTGAAGTCCTTCAACGGCTCGTTAGCTCCACAGGCGGGGTCGCTCCGTCCAGCCCCTCGTGTGTTTTCTCCGTCAGAAACTTAAACCGTTTAAAAAGGGTGAAAACAACAGATGGCCCTCCGTCGTGTAATCGATCAAATAAATAAAAAGGAGACGTCGGCGAGTTCCAACGCTTGAATTTCTGCTTCGACGTCAGTTTTTAGAAAAGTTCCTGGCCGTTCATTTACAAGATGGCCGTGCGTGGATACACAGATGTGGCGTTACACGGGGAGGTCGGCTGCGTGTGGATCGATCAGACAAAACACATGTTCAATGAAGGGGGGGGGCTCTTTTAACAGGAATCTGAACACGCTCTACTTGACGGGCTTCGAGCAAACCTTGATTTTTTTGTTTTTTCCTGGGAAAACGTGGAAAGGACCTGCTTCTAGCTGGACGCTGGGACGTAACCAGGTGAAATTAAAGAGCCCCCCCTCCGTAAAAGTGGCCTAAGATGAGATAAAGAAACGTGAAGGAGGAGGAAAGCACGAGGAAAGTCTAAAGCTAATAAAAAGGCGTGAGCAGTTGGACAGGAGGGACATAGAAATGAGTATAAATAGTTTAATAACATGCACGTGGGTTCCAGGGGACGATGGACAGATGGTAGGGATGACAGGAGGGGGAAGAAAGATGAACGGAGACACCTAGTTGCCCCACCAGTCAACTTGAGAGTGCGAGTAGTTGCCACCGTAGCCGTCGCTTGTGTAAAAGTTGCCGAAACCACCTGAGGAGACAGAAAACCTTGGTGAAGCAGAAGCTCTCGGCTGCACGCGGATCGGAAGCAGCCAGGCGCAAACATCTCGTCCTCACCTCCTCCGAAGCCACGGTTTCCTCCGTGTCCCGTCTGGTTGCGTCCGCCGCGACCCCCGAACCCTCCTGCGTTTCCTCCGGCGGCGGTCTGACGGTAATCGCGTGCTCCAAAACCACCGGAGAACCTTGTTCCAAAACCAAGAGAGAGTAAAGTGGCTAACGTTAACAAAACGGTTCGTGTTAGGGGCGCGCGACATCATCGCCCGTTCCATCAATAAGAACTCGCCGATATAAAAGACGCCGTTTGCGGCTGCGGCACAACGTGACGACGTCACGTGCACCTACCTCATCTGATCACAGCGGAGAGGAAAACTCACGGCGGTGTGGAAGTTTTATTTTGCGTTGGCGAGGACGTCGGATTCCGAAGATTTATGGACGTTGAGTCTCGCTGCATCGTCCCCAGTCGGAGATATTTTTCCGACGCAACGTTACTCGAGTTACAAGCCGTCGTTTCCGACGCCGTTGAGAAGCTAACAGCCGATAGCACGACTTGTTGGGTGAGTTTTACCTCAGACACTTGGACGTCGTGTTAGCCCCGTTAGCGTGATTAGTCTTACGGAACAATGGATAAAAACTTTGAAGTTAAAAAGTCTGTCCTTCATGCACAGGAGTGCAGAGGATCCTCACTGCAGCTATAGGAACCTGCAACAAGCCTCCACAGGTGAGACAGCATCGCAGGTGACTAACGCTAATAAATAACATTTAACACTTTTCATTTAATAGAAGTTAAAGTGCTGTGCTGTTACTGGATATATGTCGCCAGCTCTTACAGCTGTTGCACAGTTTTTGTAGCAAATAAGTCTCAATAAGAGGGAAACGTTCTGACAAAGGAACGTATTGGCCAAAAATCCAATATCGTGCATCCCTAGTTGATGTTTTCAAAGTGAGACGGCGGCGGATGTGTGCACCTCTTGGAGCGTCCTCTGCTGCTGCTCTTGTGCTGGTGTTCGTACGCCAGGCTCTCCAGCCACGAGGGAACTTCCTGTTTCGCTTCAACCAGGATGTCCAGCAGATCTTTAGTGATGTTCCCGTTTTTATCGTTGAAGAACGACGTTGCCAGCCCTGCAGCGAACACGTTCAAAAGAAACCAGGTGTCAAACAAGGGCACCGCATCAGGAGCACTAGGTGCCCGTCTATAGCAACAGTCCAGACAAGAAGGATCTCTTTGACCTTGATCTGTGACCTTGAATCTGGGGTGATGAAAAGTGTATGCTACTCTCTGGCTAGTGACGACGTATATGTGTACACAGTTTCATTGAACTATCTTGAGCAGAAGAGCAGGACAAGACGTTTAAGTTCGGACGAACACTAGACCAGAAAACGTCCGCCTTTCGACGAGCGTATAAAAGTAAAAAATAAAACCTGCGGCTTTACAGAGAAACACGTACCCAGGTTCCCAACTCGTCCCGTACGTCCAATACGATGGACATACTCCTCGATGTCGCTGGGCAGGTCGAAGTTGATGACGTGTTTCACGTTGGAGATGTCCAAACCACGTGCCGCGACCTGACAACGACGAGCACAGACGTCACGAACTACTGCGGCACGTTTGGCCCAGAATTCATCCTCATTGGACTTTTTATTTTACTGACCGCTGTAGCGACTAGGATGGGGCATTTTCCTGATCTGAACTGGCTCAGGGCCTCCTCTCGGTCTCTCTGGGAACGGTCTCCATGGATGCTGGTGCAGGCGTAGCCCTCTCGGTACAGGAAGTCCTCCAAAGCGTCAGCGCCTTTCTTGGTTTCCACGAAAACCAGGGTCAGAGAGTCCTTCCCTGGTGAAAGAGAGAGATGAGAAACTTGCAGTTCATTCTGAAAAATCAGGATTAAATGTTCTTAAGATCCCTGTTGCCACTTCATACCACTTGGACCTAACCGTCAGTGTTCAGCTCATTCAGTCCTAATGCTAGCGGTGTCGGGGACCATCAGGGCCGTACGCAACATGAACTGCTGCCGACTGCAAAGACACTTAACTGGTTTCAGATTAGCAGCAAGACCAATCTTTAACCTTAAAGGAGGTCATGTGCACGTGTCTGTGGCTAGCTAGCGAAAAGTTTACACGACTTATTGACCCACGTCTTTAAGAACTGAACAAGCTGAACCAAGACACCCCCCAAGGACCACAACAAACATTTGAGGAATCTATACTTTTTAGCCAAATGAAATCTAGAAAGGGTCGGTCTGCACACATATTTGGCAGCAGCCATCTTGGATTTTGGAGCTTTTTGGGTTTTTTTTTTTCCGGCTGCTCCCTTCGTCAGGGGTCACCACAGCGAGCTAACTTGCCCGAAGACTTGGCGATTGTTTTTATGTCCTGACGCAACCACTGAGCTACCACAGCCCTCTGTGTGGAGCAGAGAGCCGACATCTAGGGTGCTCGGGGGAGCAGATGGTGGGGGTTAAGAGCCTTGCTCAAGGGCCCAGAGTGGGGCAAATGAGGGTGGAGGCAGGTGTGGGTGCTTCACCTATCCCACCCACAGTTTGATGTTTTTGATCCGGGGAGTCAAACCGGCGACCTTCAGATCACACGCCCACCTTCTCTAACCTCTGCACCACCACTCCCCCATGGATTTAGACGCGTCAACCCAATTTTTGAAAGGAACCTTCCTTACGAGTAGATGAATCCACGCACCAAAATGAACGTCGGTACTTCAATTTGTTTCAAGTTATCAAGCGGACGGACGAGGGCGATGCCAGTTCCTCCTCTTCGCTCATTAACGGGAGACAATTAAAGCCCAGAGAGACACTTGAACTGTAGGTGTAAACCTTCATGACCCAGATTCGTGTTTCCTGGTACCACCACGGACCAGTGGCGATGTGCCGAGCTTGTGATAGAAAAACACTGAGGTGTACAGGAACCAGAAGCGACTCATCGTTTCTTAATCAGACATCTTAAATAAAATGTTTTTTGAGTTCTCACAGCCCTTACCAACTCCCTAAAAATGGCTGAGACATTTTGGCACTCAAGCTAAAAACCCTCCCGTACGTTTAATAGAACTTAAATAAAACGGTGACAATAAATTTACTTTTTGTAGGTGCGTCCATTAGACTGGACTGTATTGTGTGTGTGAGACATGCAGGTTTGTTCAGCGAGACTACAGGAAGTATCTCACGGGGCTCTCAGAGACCAGTCGGCGACTCAAACTTCAATCACTATTGAGAAGGAATACACAAACTTTAAAGACTCGTTGAATTCTGACAGGGTTCCCGGCGTTTCATGAAGTTTTCCCTGAAATTCCAGGAGATCCTTTAGTCACACGAAACGCTCAGAGCTCGAGTAGACTGTAGCCAACATCAGTCATTCCTAAGATTTAATTATACTGTATAACATCAGATTGTAAAAATTCACTGTAGCCTATCATTCAGGATACATGTACATGTACTCTGTAGCAGCATGGACTCAGTACTAGAATACTAGCATTTATACACGTTGAAATCTCAAAGAATCGTTTAAACCAGCAGAGCAGTGTTCAAAATCACTAAATTCACTGTCTGGAAAATATGAAGGTCCTTTTCCATGTTGTCCTTGATTTCCCCGAGTCTCTTGGGAACCCTGTCTGAGTATCCTCAACCAAAGATCTGAACTGCTGTAGTTAAAGCCGTGCACATTATTTCACCGCCCACATCCTGCCAAACTCTTGCAATAATCCCCAGATTTACGATTTAATCTGCCGATGTATCGACCAGACCTAACAAGATTTCTGTCAGGGCCTGGTGAAGGTCCTGATGCATGCTGGATAATCCAGGTAGAAAAATCTTACAAGGTTGATTCAGAGCCTCTGGGCGGATTCTTCTTTGTTGAAATGTTGCGTTTATTATCCAAAAGATTTCTTCAGTCTAACTGAAGAAGTTCTCATCCAAAAGACTTCTTCAGTTTGACTGGAGTAGTAATAAAAGACTTCTTGAACAAGTCTTAAAAGACTTCTACAGTCAGACTGTAGAAGTCTTTTAAGACTTGTTCCAGAAGTCTTTTATTACTTCTTCAGTCAGACTGTAAATGACTTTTAAGACTTCTTGAAGTCTTAAGACTTCTACAGTCTGACTGTAGAAGTCTTTTAAGACTTGTTCAAGAAGTCTTTTAAGACTTGTTCAAGAAGTCTTTTATTACTTATTCAGTCAGACTGTAAATGACTTTTAAGACTTCTTCAAGAAGTATTTTATTACTTCTACAGTCTGTAGAAGTAATAAAATACTTCTTGAAGTATTAAGACTTCTACAGTCTGACTGTAGAAGTCTTTTAAGACTTCTTCAAGAAGTCTTAAAAGACTTCTACAGACTGTAGAAGTAATAAATACTTCTTGAAGTCTTAAGTCTTCTACAGTCTGACTGTAGAAGTCTTAAGACTTCAAGAAGTTTTTTAAGACTTCAAGAAGTCTTTTATTACTTCTACAGACTGTAGAAGAACGTAGAAGAACTTCTACAGTTTGACTGAAGAAGTAATAAGACTTCTTGAACAAGTCTTAAAAGACTTCTACAGTCTGTAGAAGTAATAAAATACTTCTTGAAGTCTTAAGACTTCCGTCTGACTGAAGAAGTCTTTTGGATAAAAGACACAACATCTCAACAAAGAAGAATTCGTCCAGAGGACCTGACTCAACCTCGTTAGCGTCTTGTGAAGGGTTGAAGACACCCGTGACGACTCCCGTGCCTATTCAGAGTGAAAATCTGTCTGCCTGCGGTGAAGCCGAGATGCTCCGCGAAACGTACGAGACGTTCTGTTCGCCGACTGGCCTCCAGCTGTCACAGCCCAGTGAGGTACCACCGTAAGCCTGTCGGCGTTCAGACAATGACCTCTATGAGGGAAAAAGAATGCAGTGCAGATGGTGAAAGTAACAGAAGAATAAAAAATAAACAGCATCTGCAGCAGAGGTTTCATGCAGGAACATTTAGAGCCACTGATGGTCAGACTTTGGTCACTGTGCTCCCACCACCACCCCACCCGGTTGTCCTGCGTTATCCCACGTTTACGTTGACTAGAGTGCAACGGGACCAGACTCTCTCCATCAAGGGGTCGAACACAGAAACATCACACGAAGATGGCACTTTATAAAGGACAGGCACGCTAAGCAGAACCTGACCGGTGGGATGGAACACGCAGCCTAAATGGACTTTATACTGAAGTCAAGCAAACTTATCCAAAATATGAAATGAAAGAAATTAAGTGTCTTTATTGTGGATCTTACCGGGTTTCTCTAGGTTGTCTCCAGTACTGTCCTGTACCTCGTTGGGGATAACTTGGGATGAAACCACATCAAAGTTTTTATATCTATCTATAATACTTTGCACTAAATTCAAAATAAGACTTATTTTCTCCTGAACACGGGTTAGACATATTAAAACCTTCCTCTTTAAATAAAATAACTGAAGGAGTAAACGATGGAACGTTTAGGGAGACGGCTTTAATTTTAAACCCCTTTCACTGCGCGACATCGACTGCGCACGTCAACGTGGCGCTGACGTACAATAAGTTATGCTAAGCATGACACGTAGTAATGTAATGACGTGAGATGTGAGGAGAACAGTGACGACAGCAAAACGACAACACGGTTTATGTGAGGTTACGGTGCGCTATCCCAATTTGAATCCTGTTTTTAACGTTCAGTGTCAGCTGGTTTTCGTAGATACTTCACCTCACGCAGACCGAAACGATTGTCGTGGAGATCGTCTCACCTGTGGCGCTCAGCAGGTCCAGGAGGAAAGACCTCTTGTCGCTCTCTTCGACCCAAACCACTTTCTGAGTGATGTTCTCGGAGGTGGAGCCCACCCTGCCTACGGCCAGGAAGATGTAATCCTCCAGGAAATCCCTCGCCAAGATCTGGAAAAAAGTGCAAACCGTGAAAATCAACCAGACGAGCGGGACTTGGTGACTGAACCGGGTCACTAAAACACACCTGGATCTCTTTAGGGAACGTAGCGCTGAACATCAAGGTCTGCCTGATGCCTTTGTGAGGCATGGTGTCCTGCTCCACGATGCGTCTGATCTGCGGTTCGAAGCCCATGTCCAACATGCGATCTGCCTCATCCAGGACCAGGTACCTAAAGGGAAACGAAGAGCGCCGCACACGGTACGTTAGACAAACTGTTCTATACAGCAACGGCCTGGACCCTGTACAACCTTTGACCTTGAATCAGGACCTTGACCTTGGAGTTGTGGCGACGAAAGGATACGTGAACTACTGGTTACTGGTGGTACAAATGTGTTGTGAGTTCCGTTAAATCATCTTGAGCAGATCAGAAGTTATGGGCGGGATAAGAGAAACTTTATGTATGGACAACCTATACGGCAATACGTCCCGCCTTCGACGGGCGAATTGAAAAGACTAAAACTAATGAAAAGAGACGAGGTTAAAATATCTAAATACTCCAACTATTTAGTAACTAACTGGTACTTGGAGCTCGTGTCTTACTTGCAGTAGTCCAGTCCGATCTTGCCTCTCTCCATCATGTCCACCAGTCTTCCGGGCGTGGCCACCAGCAGGTGGCAGCCCCTCTCCAGGTCTCTGATCTGCTGCCCGATGTCGGCGCCTCCGTATACGACGCAGGGACGCACTCTGGAGCGGTACGAAAACTAGCGGGGAAACGAGAACGATGAACCGTGGGAACCCCTGATCGCCGTCGGTGATCAAACTGAAAGGGGCGCTTTAGTTTCTACCTTCCTGGCTTCGTCGTAGATCTGCAGAGCCAGTTCTCTGGTCGGAGCCAGAACCAGGGCGATGGGGTACTGCTTACGGCGCCCGTACTTCCCGTTCTCCTGAAACAGAACCACAACATCAGGTTTCGGTCACTTCTTTAGCGGGCTGAGGTTCAGCTGGCTGGACATGAAAACAACCAAAATGTGAGCTTCGTGTATATTTTAAGCCGGGGGTCACTCTTTGGACTTACACAAGGTCCAGTGTTTCCCCAGCTCAACTTGGCAGGGCGTGCTCATATCGTCAAGGATTTTCGTCGATGGATGAGGGAAAGGGGTGAGTGCTGGCAGTTGTCGACCCGAGGGGGGTGGACAGAGAAGAGAAGCAGAATGCTCCGTGTGTAGCAACTTAGCTAGGCTAGCGCGTGTGTATTGCATGCCGCTACGTCAGTGCTGGCAGTTACTGATGGGGTGGGGGTGGGGGGTCGGTAGGCAGGGTGCTTGGTCCTGATGACAGGGCACCCTCCTTGGATAATGGTAGGGGATACACTGGAGTCTGAAACTGGGGGCTAAACCATCTCAAACAGGGAGTTACGTAGATTCTCAGCTTATTCATTCAATCTTTATCTTATGACTGTGCAGCCGGTTAGTCAGGTCCTCTGCGAACGGATAATGTTATAACATTATAAAAAACAACATTATAGAAAATAGAATGTTAAGAACTTTGGTAAAACTTGACACCAAAACACAAACGCTTCGTTCTTTTTAGGGGTTTGAACGGCTGCTGCCTTCATGAATCCATCCATGGCCGTACGGTTACACCAGGCGGGAAACTCCTGGACTCTGAGGCAGACAAATAATTTACGAACGTCAATCAAACGCATTTACTGCCCTTTAGATAAAGTGGGACTTGCTCCGAGCGTTCTGTAGCCGTTTAAACCCATTGGTCAAACTCCGAGTCTTCATCTCAGTTTGTGTTTTCTCTGCTGTAGTGACCGATGTTCGGCAGCACGATGGCTCAGTGGTTAGCAACGTTGCTTCGAGGCAAGATTTCAGTTTTTGCACGTTCTTCTTGTGTTAGGCTGCCTTCGGGCGTCCCTTGAAGAGGGATCTGTGATCTCAGAGGGACTTTCCTGGGTCAATAAATGGACGCCATGTAGTAAAACCACATTCTCCCACCTGTCCAGAGGCTTTGGTCGCGTTGAGAGCTTCTCCTGGTCCGTCGGTGTAGATCTGGCTGAGGATCGGAAGTAGGAAGGCCGCTGTCTTTCCGGAGCCTGAAGACACAAACTCATCAGTGGCGGACCATGATGCATTGTGTCCTAAGCAGACACTGCGGACTAGTCGAGGCTAACGCTAACATTTGATTTTCAGACTTGCTGAAATTAAACAACACGGATATATTTAATATAAAAAGTGTCTTGACTCGAGAACTTCTGTACAGGCTTATCAGAACTGCACCGGCTGACACCAACATCTTATCAGGACTATGGTCTATCTGGAAGTGCTTCATGGACAAATCTCACCGTCTTGCCATCAAATGCATACGTAATGTGTTCATAAATGTTCTTGCTGGCTTATTCTGATTCTGATCGTACCGGTCTGGGCGCAGGCCATGAGGTCCCTCTTGGACTTCACGATAGGAATGGCGTATTTCTGGACCGGGGTTGGTCGGGTGTAGCGACTCAGAGCGATGTTGCCCATGATAATCTCTCCCATGTCCACGTCTTGGAACTGTTTCATCAGAAGGAACACCGTTTTATAAAACGATAAAACAGGAAGTGCAGGATGGGGATCGTAAACTCAAGACGAACAGCTTACGCTCTCGATGTGGTGAGGAGAGTTCTGTCCCGTAGCTTCGACAGGAATGTCGTCGTATTTCTCAAAGTTGATCCCGGTGTTGCTGCCGGAGAACAGCTCGCTGAAGACACAGCAGACGAGCCCGAGTTACAACAGTAAGTTACCTCACAACAGCTCCACGTACATTGGTTTGATTCTAGCACATTTGTTTTAGTAGCTAAACCCATCAGGAAGTAGCTCATCAGTAGACTGGACGGACCTCAGGGATGAAAGAAAATTTAAAAATGAACACCTGAACATTTACCACAGCACAGCTACTTCTCTGAACGGTTTTAAACACAAGCCAACTTACAAACGCGCAGTTGTCTTAGCCCAGCCAAAGTTGTGGGGCGTTCGGACTCACTGTTCAAGGCGTTCGTTGCGCGGCAGCGGTTTGGACCAGTCTCCGTCGTCCCTGGATTCCTCCACCCAGCGGCTGTTTCCCCCGCCGGTGCCAGCGAACCCGCCGTGGTCGAACCTGAAGAGCAGCGCGCGTGAAGAAGCAGAATCACGACGAGGCGACGGCATCGTTCACACAGCTGGACCGAAGCTGCTCCGGCTCTTACCGTCCTCTGTTGGCGTTGTCTCTGCTGCTGAAGAAGGCCGACTTCCCTCGGTTGTTGCCGAAGCTGCTGTAGGCGTCCTTGGCGGCGTTCCAGCCGCCCGTGTCTAACGGGACAGACGATGCAGAAGTGAGTACAGTTTCACAAGCGGCATGAACGCTAACCGAGGCTTGTTCACAGGAAGTTAGCCACGCAGCTAACTTGCTCTTAGTGGACCGACTGAACGCCGTCCTTTGCTGTCGCACTCACCGAAGCCAAGGGGCTGTGCTGGGTTGATGGGGTTGAAGGCGCCGCCCCTGTTGCCACGGTAACCACCTCCGCCGACGCCCCCACGGCCCCGCTCCATGCGAGGCGGACCGCGGTTGAAGGTGTTGCCGGCCAAGCGGTTGTCGTGGTAACCGTTGACGAAGTTGTTGCGGCCCGCATCCCAACCGTCTGTAAAAAAAAAAAGATTTAAGGAATCAACATCAGCTGTGATGAGTTTAAACCGATAAAACATTTATTTAAAGTCTGAAAACTGAATCTTTAAAACAACTAAATGTTTTTTTCAGCGTGGACGCTTCTCGCCACTGTTGATGCCAAATTAACCCGAACAGCCGAAAGGATCAGAATAAAGCTGAAATGAGCTAAAAGCTGAAAAAAATAATTGAAAACAGCTGACCCATGACCTTTGACCCTGTGAAACTAAAGCTGAAACTAGCAGAAAAAGCTAAAAGTACCAAAAAGAACTTTAATTTAGATAAAAAGAGCTCAAAAGAGCTAAAAAAAAAAGCGTGACGAAAGCACAGAAAAAAGCCAAAAGGAGCACAAAATGCTAAAATGTGTAAGAAGCTAAAAACAGAACAGCTAAAATGATCAAAAACTATGTGAAATGAGTAGAAAGTAGCTGAAGAGCACAAAGCTGAAATCAACTGAAAAGTAGCCGAAAAAGCTGAAATCTGAAAAGAGCAAAATAATAACTATAATAATAATTTAAATAGAAAGTAGCATAAAAAATGGAAATTTTCACAAGCAAAACAGGGAAAGGGCTAAAAGTAGCTGAAGGAAGCAGAAGAAAAGCTGAAATGAGCAGGTATCGGCTGTAAACAGCTCAAACTGTTTCTAGAGAGCTCCATTCATTTTCAATGAGAAAAACATGGCCGACAAATTTAATATACAGTAGTCCCTCATTTATCGTGGGGAGATCTGTATCCTGAAGCCCCACAAAATAGGAATAGTAGTACAAGTAGTAAGTAGTATATTTTTTATATATTCAGTATATAAAAGTGTTTTAAACTCTTCCCACACTATTGCAATATTCTAAACAATGTTTCTAAAGTCGACATGCTCTAAATATGTTCTTGTTTTTTCATCCTGATTTATATGGAGAGACATTTCTTTCTAAATTAAATAGTGTTCTTTTATTATTAGTAGTAAATATTCCATTAAATACACAAATGTTCCCATGAAATAAAACATTTAAATAGAATTTTCCCACAAGTCTCACGCACGGACCATGAGACGCACACATTTCATGACGTGCACACGGCGCACTTTGCATTTCTCGCTAAAACACACGTGCAGGCCCTTTTCTGAAGAGGAACCAACGTGCAGCACAATGTTTCCGCACGGGCTGGAGCGCGACAGCGGACATGGCTGCAGTGTTGACAACTTGGCTACTGTTTTCCAGAAAAACCACGGATCTAGAGACTTTTTCTGTTACTGGAGACTTTGGCGACTACATGTCCTCGGCGTGCCGTAAGCCCCTCCCACTTCTCCTCACCCCGACCGTGTATGTCAGGTAGTGTGGGTTCAGGCAGAGCTAAAGTTATGAAATTACTTCATAAAGTTCACTCATCGATCTAAACATGTTTTTTGAAATCATTCTTTGTTTTACCAACGTTGACCCTACTCTCTCCTACAGCCTGATCAACGTGACCAAATATACAAATCAGGCGATGACGTCATCTAGCGGCTCAAAATCTCACTCCACGTTCAGATCAAAGCTCGAGAGCCCCGAGCTTTGATCTGAACGTTGTTCGAGTCGTGATTTGAAGCCGGACCAAGCAGAACCCCGGGGGAACTTTGCTGTGACTGCTCAACAGAGATCGGACGTCAGTTTCTGCGAAGACGATTCATCCGCTAATCCTGACAAGACCCGCCCCACAGAGAAAACCCCGCCCCCTCATTTGAATATAAGAACATGAACTAAAATGAAAAACTGGGTTAAATCATAAAAGCCCCTGAAATATGTAAAGTAGCTTAAGAAAATCATAATAATGAAACTCCATTATTAAATAAATACATAAATCTTGAAACACATAAAAAATAAATCTTGGGAAAAAAAACTAAACATTTCTATTTAAATGTTTTATTTCATGGGAACGTTTATTTATTTAATGGAATATTTATTAATATTTTTTAAATACTATTTATTTATTCATTTAATTTTGAATGAAATGGCTCTCCATAGTTTTAGGGCACCCTGATTTATTGTTTTATACACTACTCTTATTTTTACTGTAGTTTATTGTTGTCATTGTTTACTGGTATTGTTGTCATTGTTTACTGTTATTGTTGTCATTGTTTACTGTTATTGTTGTCATTGTTTACTGGTATTGTCGTCATTGTTTACTGGTATTGTTGTCTGTACTTAGGCCTGTCACGATAAACTTTACTGGGCGATTAATTGTCTCAGAAATTATTGCGATAAACGATAATATTGTTTGAAATTTGACAATAATTAGAAATTATTGTCAAATTTAAAAAGAAATGTTTGTGTGTAGTACCTTTATTATTTCAGTCATGGCCCCCAAACTCTGGAACAACCTGCCCCCCCAACATGAGGCAGGCCACCTCCCTTCCTCACTTCAAATCTCTAAACATCTGTTCTCGCAGACATTTCACACAGTGTACATTGATTTAGTGTCTTTTGTTCTGTGATCCTATGTTTTAAATGCCTTTTTATTAAATCTTCAGTTATTACTATAAGTGTATTGTATTATTTTCTCATTAATTTTACTTCCATTGATGTTGTTAAGCACTTTGATAACAGGTTCTGTTTTAAATAAAGTTGACTGGACTGGACTTTATTGACCCCTGGATGGCAGCGCGGTGTGGTTTGAACTTTTAGCATTTTTCACACACGGCTTTAAATTTAAAAAAATCAGTAAACAAGTTCTCAGCTTCTTTTTGCAGAGAAAAACAACTTTTTACACGAAGACACGGGTTTCAACCGTGAATCAAGGTCGGCCTGTTAGCTTAGCCCGTAGCTTAGCTCATAGCTTAGCCCGTAGCTTAGCTCGTAGCTTAGCTGCTTTTAACGATCCAAAAACGCAATTTTGGACGATTAAAACAGATTTTAAGAGAAGGGGAGGAGTCAATGAGGAGCACCGGAGTTGAGCCTTTTGTTTTCAGTAGAAAGAGACGAAGAAACGATAAAGCCGATTAATGAAAATGAGTTAGACAATTTTCATTCATCATGCGATGAATAGATTTATTGTTTATCGTGACAGGCCTGTCTGTACTTTTTATGTTTTGTCTGGAACAAGTCTCTTGTAGATGAGTCCTCGTGGCTCAATGAGACTAGCCCGTATAAATAAAGGTTGAATGAAAAACATTAAACGCACAACATGTCATGATTTCAGCTCTCCGCCTCCTGCTGCTCTTGGCCACGCCCACTTCTCCGCTGCAGAGCGGAGATATAACAGGCTGCAGGAGGAAGCTGCACAAAGGTGCTAAATAATTTAAAACGATCCATGCCGATCGTGCAGCTCTTCCATCAATCAGCCAATTGTGCGTCATGTCCACTCTTACTTTGAAAAACCGCGACAGAGCGAGTTCGTGATGAACGAATCGCGAAGCAGCGAGGGACTACTGCATTTCAAAAGAGTGGCAGGAGGAACGTTCTGCGAGATGAAAACGAACGAACGCGCTCAACTCACAGTTAGCTGCCGGCGCGATGGCGTACGCCGCCTGGCGTCCGGCGGCGAAGGCGTTTCCCACTGGAAGAGAAAACGTTCGTATTGGACGTCGGTGGCGACAAAGAAAAGTGCGTCCACGGTTTCAACTTGTTTTTTAAAAACACACGTCTGGTGCGACGGCCATGTTCCACCGTTAACTCACCGTTCTTGGACACGTCTTTGTTCCGTAAATGTGGAGGAACGTATCGACCTGCGACAGAAAGAGTCCAACATCATTTACAGCGCACGTGTAATAATTTACACGTATAAGAAACATTGTTTGTTCATGTGTGTTTTGTATCTAAAACTGAGCAGTGATGTAAAATAAATACACTATTCATCTAAATGTCGGTGAAAGGCAACACACAATGCTGTTTGACCAATAAAAGTGACTAAATAAAAGTATAAACACAAGGTATCCTGATGCATGCTCAATAATCCAGGATTACTGAGCATGCATCAGGATTATTATCCAGGATTTAAACCTTGGAGGCAGAAGGCGGCCTTCAGGCTGGAGCTCGTTTAGAACACAAGTGAATCTCATGGTAAACGTGTTTACTGCTTACTGTCAGTACCTCCTTGTCCATCTGGAGCACTCAGGTCTAGGACAGCGAGCTGGACAAACAAAAGGACACGTCAGGTTCATCACGCAGCCGAACTCGTATCACAAATCAGGTTTAAACTCCTGTGTACTTCTAATAAACCAGGACACGTCCATTCGTTAAAAACTTTAACTTTCGCTTCCTCTGACGTACGACGTTTCCCCATCTCCGCCTGTGGTACACACTGGAGCCATGAAATCCATTTCTGGGCGCCGCCATGTTGGATATTCAGAGTCTGATCCATGGAAACGAACGTTTCGCCCATAACGAGAAAAACACTGAGCAGTCGAGCGCAGCCGAACGCTAACAAAGAGAGGAGATCGTCTTTGGTCAAGGTTTATGGTTTTAACTGCTATGGCTGGGAACGTTAACTGCCCATGAACCATGTGTTGGAGTTCTTTTCTCTCTCAGACAGCCGAGTGATTTGATCCTGCATGTGCAGCTGTGAGGTCGAGGTCATCACCGTCTGCCTGGGAGCTGTGGGAGCTGATAAGGTTATAAAAACAAGCGTTGCACGCTGCTCTGTGAAAGTCTGCCCTTGCAAGTAAAACCGGTTAAAAATCTTCTCGAGGTCTCTCTTGTAAACGAGTCCTCGAGGCTCAATGAGACCAACCTGTGTAAACAAAGGTTGGATGAATGAACGCGTGTGGCTTCTTTAAAGTAAGTAAGATGACTAGAGGATATTTTAATCCAACAAAAAGCTGCCGCCATCTTGGCAGGTGGCGTCTTTAGTTACGGCCATCATGGCGCCACGTAGGGATGGACGATTCCAAAAAATTAGAACATCATGGAAAAGTTGTTTAACTTCCATAATTCCATTCAAAAAGTTAATCTTTAATAGACGATAGATTCAGGGCCCACAATTTAAACTATTTCAAATATTTGTTTATTTTTACATAATTTGAGCTTCCAGCTCATGAAACCCACGAAAACAGGATTTAAAAAAAATTAGAATATTGTGGAGACATCAGCCCAAATGTTGCAGGACATGAATGTTTCAAACTGAGTGTGACACGAATCATCTACTAAACTCAAAGCACCTGCACAGGTTCCCCCAGGTGTCATTAAACTGCTTCAGTTCGGTTCAATATGGAGAAGACTGCAGACATAACTGGTCAGAAGACCATCATTGGTGTCCTCCATAGGATGGGTACGCCACAAACGTTCATAGCTACGGAGGCTGGCTGTTCACAGAGCGCTGTGTCCAAGCACATCAATGGAAAGTCTAGTGGAAGGACAACATGTGGCAGGAGAAGATGCACCAGCAACAGAGATGACCATGAGCTTCAGTGGATCATTGAACAGAGAAGATCAAGAATCTGTCAGAGATCCAGAAAGAGTGGAATGAGGCGGAGTCACAGCTTCAAAAACCACCACATTCAGACACATCCAGGAGATGGACTACAACTGTTGGGTTCCTTGATCCTCTTTTCTGATGAAAGTAAAGTGTCTTTCATTCAGAAGTCAAGGTCCAAGGGTTTGGATGAAGAAGGGTGAGGAACAGAACCCATACTGGTTGAGGTCCAGTGTGAAACATCCACAGTCAGTCTTGATCTGGGTGCAGTGTCCGGTGCAGGTGTTGGTAAACTCTGCTTTCTTCAATCTAAGGTCACAGCAACAGTCTACCAGAATGTTTTAGAGGACTTCATGATTCCTTCTGCTGAGGATCTGTATGGAGATGCAGAGTTCATCTTCCAGCAGGACCTGGTCCCTGTCCATGCTGCCAGAAGCACCAGAACCTGGTTTGATGCCACAGTGCTTGACTGGCCAGCCAACTGGTTGGACCTAAACCCCAATGAGAATCTATGGGTCTTCTCAAGAGGAACATGAGGAGCACCAGAGCAACAACAAAGAAGATCTGACAGCATCAAGGAAATCTGGGCTTCCATAACTCCCAGTCAATGCACAGGCTGATTGTCTCAATGTCACATCGAGGCAGAGATTAAGACAAAGAGATTCACAACCAAGTTACTGAAGATTGACATATGGTTTTGAAAGAACCATATTTTAATTGACTTGTTGTGATCCTAATTTATTTCTTCTTTTCAACTGAGCAGTGTGGACTGATGTCTTCACAGTATTCTAATTTTCTGAAATCCTGTTTTTGTGGGTTTCATGAGCTGGAAGCTCAAATTATGTAAAAATAAACAAATAAATATTTTAAATAGTTTAAATAGTGGGCCCTGAATCTATCGTCTATTAAAGATTAACTGTTTGAATGGAATTATGAAAGTTGAACTACTTTTCCATGATGTTCTAGATTTTTGAAAAGGGTCTGTATTGTAGTCAGAGAATTGGCGTATAATCTCGACCAGGGGTGTCCAGTCCTGGCCCTGGAGGGCCACTACCCTGCATGTTTTAGACCGGGGTGCCCAATACATCCATCCATCTACCGGTCAATCCAAAAGGTATTCTGGGAAGATGACATGGCATTAAAAAAACTAAACGTCAGCCAATCATCATCTATGAAATTTGTCTCTTGATTGACAGACAGGGCAGCCAGTCTGAGGCCCCGTTTACACGTCGTGAAACGTTTGTTCATTTACAGACAACATCCTCATCCTCTCTGAAACTGAAGGTTTCTGAGTCCAGGACTCACAGTGGAGGTTTTCAGAGGAACCCCCCAACAGAGAAGTGAAACAGGCGGATGCAGTCCAAAGGTTTTCTGCTCTAACGACCGTTGTAATAAACATGACAACAGTTGCAACAAATACAACAACCGTTGCAACAAATACAACAACCGTTGCAACAAATACAACAACCGTTGCAACAAATACAACAACCGTTGTAACAAATACAACAACCGTTGCAACAAATACAACAGTTGTAACAAATACAACAACCGTTGCAACAAGTACAACAACCGTTGCAACAAATACAACAACCGTTGCAACAAATACAACAGTTGTAACAAATACAACAACCGTTGCAACAAATACAACAACCGTTTTAACAAATACAACAACCGTTGTAACAAATACAACAACCGTTGTAACA